CCCCCCCCCCCCCCCCCCCCCCTCGGTGCATTCCACGAAATTGATGGCAAGAGGAGGAGGAGACGCGAGTCTGGGTCTGGGTGGGATTTGAACTCGTGCCAAGACGAAGGGGAAGGGCGAGGTTAGGCCCTACTGCCGCACCTATTTCCGGTCACACCAGAGATTGATTGGTCTCTCTCTTTCGCGCTCTCTCTCTCTCTCTTTTTCTCTCTCTCTGCGTACATGCTCCATAGAGTCCCGAGTCGCCTCGGCTTCACCCCGCCTCTTCTTTCTTTCCCGCCGGAAAGACTCCGTCGCGATCGTTCCTCGCTCTCGCACCGGGGATTCCGAGACGCATTCCGGACACGTCGTTCGCGTCCGAGGCATGCCGGAATCCCCTCGCGAATGGGAACGGTTCCATCTGCATCTGCGTCTCCGATGCGACGCCGTCGAGAATGCGGCAGCGATCCTAATTGCCATTCGCGACCGGTACTCGTACCGTCTCGCTTCGAGGCCGTCCGGATTCCGTCGGCAGCAGACGATGGGGATCTCGCCCCTTCCTCGCCCCGCGTCGGACCGACGCCACCCGCAAACGACCGAAGCGGTCGTCGAATTCGCGTCGATCTCGCTTTCGGGTGCGTTCGGGCTCGAGAAGCCTCGGAAAGAGAAATCGCGGTCGAATCCATCGGATCCCCGCCAGGACGCGTATCGACCGGACGAGTGCAAACTTTTCGAGCGAGATGAAACGAAATCCTCGTGTCGTCTTCGCCGATCGTTGACCTTTTTTTTCGTTTCTCCCCCAGGCGGTCAGCATTGGTGCAGCTTGGCGTACTGGGAGCTGAAGAGGAGAGTGGGAAGGATGTTCCCAGTTTTCAAAGACACCATCCACATCTTCTCGGATGTCCCCCACGGAGAAGGACTCTGTCTTGCCACTCTCGCCGCACAGGAAGCCAGACCGCCCGATCCCGTCCGACGAACGAGGGACAAGATCGCACTCGGTAATCCCCTTTCTTCGTCGCTCGACCCCTCCCCCCCCTCCACATTTGATCTCGCACTTCGTGCTCGCCGAGCATCTCGGAAGATAATTTAAAAGGCGGTGGGCGTCGTGGCTCTCGGCGCTGCACGTTCCATCGCGAGGCCACGAGATTCACGGACGATGGAAACGTCGCGTCCGCGTGCGTTAATCCCTTCTCATCCTCGACGTCGGGTTCTTTCTGTCCTTCAGGAGTTGTGCTGAGTCGAGACGACGAAGGCGTGTGGTTGTACAATCGCTCCGATCATCCCGTGTTTGTACATTCCCCGACCTTGGACCACCCTCACCCGACGTCCAGGACGTTCCTCGTCCACAAACTCCTCCCGGGTTATTCCCTGAAAGTGTTCGACTACCTCGTGTCCAAGTACTACCAGTCGTTGACGGACGGGGGCCCGTGCGAAGGCCCCGGAAGCGGCGGTCCCGTGGATCCCCGAGCCGTTCGGATCAGCTTCGCAAAAGGCTGGGGCCCGCATTATTCCCGTCAGTTCGTGACTTCCTGTCCGTGCTGGTTGGAGATCCTCCTTTCCGAAGACAGGCCGAGGTGATCGAGCGGAGCCCTTGTTTTCGCCTAGCTTTAATCGAAATCCCAGTCGACAGGGAGGGCAACACGTATCTGAGTGTGATATCTTAGCTATTTCCCTTGCAGAAGTCAACGAGTGTTTTCCGAGTTCGCGGATGAGAAATTCTATCGCGTCCGAGTGTGTGTGGTCTGTTCTCGTCGTCGAGTTTCGGTCTCCTAGTCCTTTTGTTTCTCCGTTTCGGTCTGCCCACCTCGTTATTTTTTTTCCATCGCCGAATTTCCCCCGTTCTTCGGATCGATTTTTGGTCCCGTTGTCATAATCAGTATTAGTCACGACTGAATCATCCAACTCACGTTGCC